CTTGGGAGGCTGAGGCAGGAGACTCGCTTGAGCCCAGGAGTTGGAGGTTGCTTTTGAGCATGATGCCATGGCACTCTACCCAGGGGGATAGCTTGAGGCTCCATCTCAAAAAAAAAAAGATACTGGCCTAGGCAAAGAATTTATAAAAAAGACCCAGAGGCAGATTGTATTAATCAACTGAGGTAAAATGGAAAAAACAATATTGAAGCACTGATGTAGTTAAAGTATCTCTGGTCTAATTAGAATACAGAAATAAAGTTGAGGTGTTAATAAGTGCAAAAAAACAGCACCTTCAGATAAATACAATGAGAAGGAATCTATGGTTCAGGAAACATACTTCACTGTGATGACAAGCAAATTAAGGAGAAGGATGTGAAAAAGCAGGTAAAAGGATATAGGAAAAAAATAGTTGAAGATGAAGAAAAATTCTCTTACAATAGCATGGGAATTTCACAGAGAAGAGGACTTCTTAATAAAAACAAATGTGGAGATGAACTAGAAGAGATATGAGGTTCTGGAAGAGGGAAAGGTTTGCATAAAAGTTACTTACATCCAGCCAGCCAGACTAAAACTATTTCTTAAAAGCAATACAGTTTTAGGGACTTTCTTGCCCAAAGCTCCAATTTATATACTGCTACTTCTAAAAGGTACCAGTTTCCCTGAAAATAAGACATTGTCTTATATTTATTTTTTTCTCAAGACACACTAGGGCTTATTTTCAGGGGATGTCTTACTTTTATTAAGTATAATACAACAATCTACATTTATTTAAATCATTTAAGTCATTTTCTTCTGGAACCTGACAGGGGGAGCTGACCTTGTTGGTGGGGCTAGTGCTAGTGATATGTGAACTCCTTTCCCCTAGCTGTTCGCACATGTGCAATAGGATGCCTGCGACCGCAGTTACCATGCAAGCACCCGGAGACAAGAGCTGTGGCAGATAAAAGGTACTCCAGTCTTCCTTACTGCTCTACACCAAAATACACGGCGTAATAAGGCTTACACCTAAATCTGATGTAGAATTCTTTTTTTTTT